TGACAGATCTCGTGCTAGTGAAAAAAGAAATTGAGACCCACAGTGTGTACCCTTAAGTGCTAGTACTAAATTTTTTTTAATGTTAGAAAAGCGAGTTGACTGTCATATCCGAAATATATAGTTAGTAATCTCAAAATAAATATAATGCAATTTGTTGTTTATTGTAATTCATCAGAAAAAAGACATTTTTCACTCAGACTTAAACATGAAATTGATGTACTTCGCACTTCGTACTTCGCTCTTAATGGTCCGATAGACCTGTAGACTTATAAATCAAACACACTGCCCGTTTGTAGCCAATGTATTTGATGTAACGTATTCATTTTCTGAAAGCATTTAATCTTTACTTTGTTGAGTGCTTCTTTGGAAGTCAGTCATAAATAGCCAGATAGATTTTCAGACAACACTGGCGTTTAAAATAGTTAAAGGTAAAGGAACACTGGCGTTCTTTGAGCTTTTTTTGTAATTTCTGGCACATTGAAAACATTGTTATATTTCTCTAGATACCTTAACAACTATTACACGCTTTTTACTCTCCATATGTACACTATTTTGTACCCTTTAAAGTCCTAACCCCTTCCAGAATTCTGTTGTAAATAATCTGACAATGACATAAGTACTATACAATTCTGCAATGCGAAACACACGTTCTATGAATTGTAATGGGACTATGCAGATATGGCCAGACATGGTTATATCCATCAATTATGTCATATATGATGTAATGTTTAGTGAGTAAAGTGTTCTCTAGAGAGCTGTTCAAGTGATATAAAACATTCAATATTTTATACGGTTTGGTTTTGTGAAAATAAACAGACTGGTAAATGACAATTACATTTAAATGACAGATGGTTTTCAGAATTAGCAATATGAGTCACGTTCTTTCTGTTACAACGATTTTCTGATAATAACATGAAGGCTAGGCCGATAAGACAGCTTTATAAATCTCCAAAACATGATTAGAATCCATTTGTAGAGACGTGTCTATTTGCATAAATACTATGTCAGTATGCACTTTTATTTTTGACGCAAACATTGCTAAGCTTAAAAGCAAATAGAATTTTAATTGGAATTAAATTGGCTTTCCAATAAATTGCCTCAATCTAGAGGGTAATATAACATATTAACATAAAATACCAACTATGTTCAATCAAAGACAAAGAAACTCTTTTTACTTGTTTGTGAGCTGTAAACTTTCTATTGGACGTTGTAAATACAATCTGTTAACATTTGACAATTATAAGTTTTATTTGAAAAAAGCAAATGCATTACATGTAAAACGCATACATAACAATTCCTAACGTTATGTTAATACGAAATGCGATATATCATAAAAATATATTTTCCTTTTATCCCATGAGTTCGTTTGTAAATATCTGCGATTGAAATAGAGAAAAAAATACCGATATTCAAGTTAGAATGGGCTTTTATTTATAAAGTCACAATAAAGTTAATGAACTTGCAGATGTTATGTAAACGAAAAGGTGGAGTCGTTATATAGTCATTGATTTTCCTGCTCATCATGAAATTCTTCTTTATATCAATGTTGTATGTGAACAATGTAAAGGAAACTATTTAACATTCAAAACCTCTATATCAAATATTGAAATATTCTATTCTTTATATATGCTAAAATCTAATAATTGAATAGAAACTAAACAAATATCTGCAGGTGTAATGCAATAAATTTTAGTTTCGATATGAAAGAAAATATTTCTAAAAGGGCAATCGCAACTTTTCAGCCATTTCATCATGATGTATTCGTTTAAATGCGAGGAAGAAATGACATTTCTGCATCTGTCCATTATAACTAGGCTGTGAACAGATTAATTAAATCATATTTTAATGATATTTTATCACGGATATCTTTGCCAGTGTTATTTCATATGTTCGTTTTATCTTGCACCTACTTGTTCTGACAACTCCGTTTTACAATTATTTTATACCTTGGGTGTTCGCGTTATATAACTTCTTATCCACTCGAGTTGCAATATTTAACTTGCATCAGAAACACGGTGCATATCCATATCGGTACCCTCTTTGCGAAATCTGCTGAAACGGTACCCTCTCTGAACATGCACAGGTCATTCTCTGCTAAAAACAAACCAGCGATGGATACCAATCCAGTAAAATTTCATTGTAATAAGGAAAGGAGATATGACACGTAGAAAAGATGTATACCACGGAACACTAGGATGTTTTATTTATTTGCTGATTTATCATGTGCCCGATTTTCAATGTACTGAAACTTCACAGTAAGCTACAAAAAATCGACATGTCTTGCTTTGCCCATCACCTCGACATATTTTTTCGGCTGAAATGAACCTGTGGCTTGATTATATATGCATCATACATATTTAATATGTTCATATACATATCATCTTCGGACAAATGGCAGTATATTGTCAAAAATAAATGTAAATTCATAAAAACACCGTACTTTCGGTTTGCAGCGGCACGGGCTACCTCTCTTCATTTGAATTTTTATATCACAGGTACCCTCTCATTTTTTAACACATAGGTACCCTCAAAGCACGACATATGCTTTTTATTGCGTTAATCGTTAAGTATGTAATATTTAAATAAAAGTAAAAAGTATTTCATACACACTTAACGATTAACGCAAATAAAAGCATATGTCGTGCTTTGAGGGTACCTATGTGTTCAATAATGAGAGGGAACCTGTGATATAAAAATTCAAATGAAGAGAGGTAGCCCGTGCCGCTGCAAAACCGAAAGTAGGGTGTTTTTATGAATTTTACATTTTATTTTTGACAATATACTGCCATTTGTCCGAAGATGATATGTATATGAACATATTAAATATGTATGATGCATAAATTATCAAGCCACAGGTTCATTTCAGCCCGAAAAATATGTCGAGGTGATGGGCGAAGCAAGAAATGTCGATTTTTTGTAGCTTATTGTGAAGTTTCAGTACATGAAAATCGGGCACATGACAAATCAGCACTTAAATAAAACATCCTAGTGTTCCGTGGTATACATCTTTTCTACGTGACATACCTCCTTTCCTTATTACAATGAAATTTTACTGGATTGGTATCCATCGCTGGTTTGTTTTTAGCAGAGAATGACCTGTGCATGTTCAGAGAGGGTACAGTTTCAGCAGATTTCGCAAAGAGGGTACCGATATGGATATGCACCGTGAGAAAGGATATTCCATTATTTCATGGTCAAAAAGTTAGCCGAGTGTTGATCACTTACACAATTCTTGGTCAATCAGAAGTGACAATCTTTTTTAAGATTTATAATTTTAATATTTCATAGACACATACCAATATTTATCCAATATTCATCAAATGAAAGAACGAAGAACACTAATATTCTTTGCTCTTCATTTTGAAAGTTGATCATGATTCGTAAATTGATTTTTCTTCGTTCGGACAATAGAAGCACTGTATTTGAGATATTTTCTCTTATAATTAAGCAACATTTTGTCTTAAAAAAATTCATTTCCTTTAATTCCGGAAAAATGTCACCGTAGCGATGAGTCATGTTTTAGAGGATTATATTTCATTTATACGAGGCTGCGTGTTATTCTTTTATATAATGCACCATTGTTACACAAACAAATATTGTAATCTAGCTATTTTAAAAGACTAGATATACTCGTATTTATTGAATACGATTTCATAAATGTTTGTTACTGATCATTTGAATTTCTGTAACTTATTTCTGTCATACTGTCTATCATTTATATTAATAAACACATCGAGTCATGTCACAGTGGTTCCATATTTTTTCTTCCTGATCCATTTGTTGCCGGAATATTTTGTGCGGAACATTCTATAGCGTTAAAGTATGTCATGTGGGAGCTGTATTTGATATCTGATTAATCCGTTTTACTCATCAGTTCTTTAAAAAAAAACCCAAAAACTGTCATATATTGTGCCGATTGCATTGTTCAACTCCTGTCAAGGGACCTTCCAATTTTAAAATTCATAATTCCTCCTCCTCCCCGTCCTCCTGTTCCTTACTACTTATTGTTTTTTGTGTGTTTTCTTTCATTAATACACAAGTATAATATTGTGTCTGAAAATTAATTTAAAATTATATCAATTGTATATTTATATTTTTCAAATATTTTAGAATTAGTATAAACAATCATGAATATTTTTTCATCATAAACATATATGTAAACTCTGCTAAAGATAGTGTTAAAATGATCTATTCATAACAACCATGTTCAATAACATAACAATTTTAAAACATACAGCAATCATAAAAATATGTACAGAGGTGATTTCCCATGAAAGAAACAGAAAGCATGACAATTGCACAAAATGTGAACAATAGATATTTCAGACAATGATATTTAATTTTCTCGGCACTATATTAATCAATAAAAGGTAATCACGCAGACCTGGTAATTCTCAGGCTGTGTATTGACGTTCAATTGTTTATTATATCTAATTGCCAGATATCAAATTTTGTAAAGACATGATTTATTATGTTATTTGAGCATTAAAGGAAAAAAGCTAATTTCACAAAGAAGGGATGGTTAACAGAAAAAATGTCATTATCACATAAAACATAAATTTCATGTCTGAAATCTGAGTTGTTTATGAATCGTTAACTTCTTGACAATTTTCAATTGAAATTTGCAAGTTGCTGTAGTTGAAGTCCAATAGAAAAGATTGTGTGCAAGTAAATTAGGTAACTTTACTGATACGATTAATTCTCCCATATAATATAAGACACAATAATTCATTTTGTCGTATAATACTTCACTCAATCAAATTGCAATGACGAGTTCATATACCTATATATATGAGTTATTTCAAATTATTGAGTAATTATTGAGATTAAAACAAGGCTAAAATGATAAGATTGGATTCAAAAATGATTTCATCACGTGGTTCAATTACTGAAAGTGCTTTGGCTTTATTTTTTAAGGTGTGAAATAAATTGAATTCTTTACATTCAATGTATATATTATTTCTAAATCGATCAATGTATGTTTTAATATTGATATTAGATAATCTCTATTTAAATTACAGAGGTGAAATATGTGTCCCCATACAAGCCAAGAACCACAGAACGTGTTACTCTACGGTCAGCCAAGACTGGCAGACGATCGTCATCATACAAGAATCTTAATGAGGGTATGTGTCGTATTAATCACGTATTTTAATGATATTTTTCTTGTTATTCAATGATAAAAATATATGTTTGTATGTCAGTTGTTCTTATTTGAATATTAACAAAGTTAAATCAGATGTACCTTGTATAATAACTTTATGTATATAATGTTTATATAATATATATATATATATATATATATATATAATATATATATATATATATATAATATATATATATATATATATATATATATATATATATAGTTGACTCTCGGTAACTCGAAATCCAAGGGACTGGGCATTTTACTTCGAGAGAAACGGAACTCGAGTAAGGTGGATCTGCCGCCATTATGTTGATATTCGTACATATATATACATGTGCCTGATTGAATGTACAAAGAAGTAGGTTTATTATTGTTGATAGCGGCAGTGCTACAATATTTAACCGTTGAAATGACGGTAAATCACTTTCAACTACAAATTATGAACAAAAATATATAATTTAATACATGTATATTAATACGGGGAAGTCAAAGACCGGGCCCGCGAAGCGGGTCCGGGCTTTGGCTTGCCCGGCTATAGACTACACGTGAATATTTAAAAGAAAATCAAATAAAAAACAATTAAAAAATATATAGAATTCTATACCTATCAATGAAATTTTCGGTGTCAGTTCTAGTCGGGCTCCGCCATTTACAATGTATGTCAATGATAATAGGCGGGGTATTCCGATAACGGAACAAATCTCAACTTTTCGGATTATTAATAATCGTCGAGTGTTCCGAGTGAAAACTGAAGCGGTGTATGTAATATCGAATGACACTTTTAAAACGGAAAGAATGAAAGGATTTTTTTAACGACTTCCCCGTTCATAGGCTTTGCCTAATTTCATATTAGTGAAACATAAACACAAACATTCGAAGCAATGACATAAATGCAAGTTTGTCAGTATTCATCAGTAAAGCACATGTTTATAATAAACATTCATGACATATCATTACAATAAAAGCACAATAACACTTTTATTTCAACAACAATTTATCTAATATTTGAAGTGAATTGATCATCGGACGAAAAACGAAAGTAGCAACTATCGTGAACCGGAAGTACATATTAATGTATGCAATATGACGGAACATTAATTATACAAATGTCATTTACGTTGATAACACACATCAATACCTAGGCTGTTTTTTTACTAACACCTGTCAGACTGGCACGAGTCTTAATTTTGTTATCTAACTGTGAAAACCAATTCAGTCTTGAAACCGATTAAAGCCACTTTTACGACGTGTTAATAATACATGATGACCGGCAATTAAAATTTCTATGGAACGTGTGAATCGTGAATCACAAGGAGAACATCTCACCTTGATGTTGCCGACCTTTTATCAGTCGGCTGTTTTCATAATTCGACTAATTGTGATGAAAATATGTTGGACTTTAATTGACGGGACCAATTTTTCTTTTCGACTAAACAGGAGTCTCGGTAAGTCAAAATTTGACCTAAGCGGAGTTAAAATACAAAGATAAAGAAGGAAATTTGACGGGACTTTAGAAATACTTCGACTTACCCGGAATTTTGAGTAAAGCGATTTTGACTTATTGAGAGTCAACTGTATATATATATATATATATATATATATATATATATATATATATATATATATATATATATATATATATATATATATATATATATATATATATATATGTATATAACTACATAATACCACCAATATATAATGTATTTGATTTATTTCATTAAAGTGGATTGGTCTGCATTTTCTAGAAGTTTTTCAAATATTGTCAAAACAATTGAAATGTATCATGAGGATATTCATATAAAATTTCTATTGGGAATAAAATGTTGACAGAGTTCTATAGCATTTATTATGAACATTTATATATGTGTATGTTGAATAATGATATTTTGTTAATATAGAACAATTTATTGTCTGCTACATACAGAAAGTGTAATATTGCGCCATGTCTTGCCAACAACATCAGTGTTTAATTATTTCAATTATTGACAAATTCACTTTAAGAACAACTCTTCTTAATCAACTTTGCCTGTTGCTTATTCGAAACTATCTTATGTGTTACTCCTGATGGCATACCAATTACTTAATTGGCATATTATTACAAATTGATTTAACAATGGTAAAATAATATTGAAAGAGTTTACTGTAATTTATGTATTGCTTTTTCATTAACTTTTTTTGTTGTTGCTTTTTATGTCAATTCTTTTTAGAAACCAAAAGTCAAATTATAGTTCTCTTATTGGTATTTTCTATTTACAGAGACTGGATACCTCAGTCCGAGAAGTTCACCTAAAACACCAAAGAAATTACGTGCAGTTTCAGCAGTAAGAACTTCCATTTTCATCGCAAATAAACCATAAAATATCATTTGGTTCCCTTAAATTAATAACAAAAAATCATATCATTGTTTCCATATTTGATCACTGCCTCCAAGGCCATCGTGTCATTAAAATGAATTTTTTTTCATGTGAAAATTGTTCAGCACAACATGTGGTATTTCCCCCTCTTATTTATCACAATTTTGCTTAAAATAAATCGTCTGCTTTTGAAATGTGCCTTTTGGCATCTGTTTATTACAATCTCTGATTCCGTCTCAAAATTGCATTTCATTTAGGCCCACCAAATGTCATCTTGTTAGGGGGATGAACATTTAATTGGGTTCCTTATGCAGATTTTTATAGAAAAGCGGTCTGCTTTGGTTCTAGTGGAATTATAGTACAAAATGAACTTTGTATTACGAATACGTCTGTCGATCTTTTTATTGTTGTATATTTTCTGTTTTAATGTGTTGAATAATGATTAAACAGTTGCATGTCTGTTGATTGTAGCTTGCATTTATTAATGATTCATTGAGCATAACTATTTATACAAGTATAAATGTGTTTGAGTAGCTGCAATGTTTCACTATTTTAAAGTAGATACTGCCTTTAACAAGTTTCGAATGAATGTTTTTATGTTATGTTTGTATTATAACGATATAGTAATAAACAATGGAACATTTCATTACATTGCAGCCAAAGTACCGCATGTATAGTGGACCAAATGGAGGTATGTTGAGCCAAAAATGAAAGTAATATATCTTGCGTGAATCTCTATTCTAGATAAATGCTATGCAAGAAAAAGGTTTCCTTGTTTATGAGAATTAGAAACCTCATGTAGAAATAAGAAATGGTTTTCTGATTTAACACCTAGAACAAATGAGTATCGACAAAATATTTTAATGTGTGGTAGATATGTTTAAAATGCTTTGATATACTTCGTACATTGTATTTATTGTTACAGAGGAGTTTCAAGGCGGTCCTCCAACACTTGCACAGACCTATGAAATAGGCAAAAAGATTGGAGAAGGAAATTTCTCAATTGTTAAAGAGTGTATACATAGGTTTGTTACATGTTCTTACATATCTAAATATATTCATATATGTTCTTAACGTAATACAAATATCTGTTTCTATTGAATCAATTATTCTTGAGTCCTGTTTTGTATTTATTTTTTCTCACTCCTAGCATAAAGATATACATGTATTGCTTTCTATTATTGTTTTATAAGAAACAATACCTTTTTCTATTCTTTTGAATTTCTTTTGAAATTCAGTATTTCCATTATACGTTTACTTCTGTCGTTTACACGATTTGTTGGTGTTTAAAAGATCTTTAACACTAGCAAGTTCGAGATAGTTCACCTTTTGATTTAATTAAGTGCATATTTAATCTTTGTGATCCGCGACGTCTATTTCTTATATTTAATTTCAATGCATTGTAGGTGTACATTTTTAGAAAGTTTATATATTTGTTTACAAAGAATAGAAAATGTTATCTCCGCTTTACTGCAGGGTTCTCTCTAGCGTGGGTTTTCTAGCTTTTGAGAAACCATTTTGTATATTTCAATATGTTCATAACTAACGTACGTGTTTTGCAGACGTACAAACAAAAGATATGCCTTGAAAATAATCGAAAAAGAGAAGTGTAGAGGAAAGGTAAGTCATTTCTAGCCATGTATTACCTCGCAATATTGATGTAAGAATATAATACTTGAAGTAAATGACCAGTTATGTCCTTATAAATATATGAAAATGGTTGCCATGCAATTTTTGTCTTAAGTTCCACCAGTATCACAATTATATTAAATTACTTTGAATGTATAAATAAACACCTGTTTACGTTTACATAGACAAACGGAGTGTCTGTGGTCGAGGGGTTAATGACGTTAAATTCAAACCACTTGCTTCTTACCGCGATCCTGCCAGAGACTTTGGACTCTTTCATGTGCTAGCTTACAGAACATCAGTGGTGCTACTCAGGTGCCCGTTCGTGCCTGAAGTAACGTGGACTTCCTTCACTAGTATATACTCGTACAATACTTAGACATTTGTTTTGTTACATTGTTCTCATCAGCTGAGGCATCTTTTTATATCAATCATTGCTGTGAGAATATCGAGCAACCGGTTGGTCATATTTTGAAATATTTCACTGTTTTGTGTATTTTTAGGAGCATATGATACAAAATGAAGTAGATATATTAAAGAAGGTGAAACATCCAAACATTGTTGAACTGATTGAGGAGTTTGATTCGCACACAGAACTGTTTCTTGTCATTGAGTTAGTCAAGGTACTTGTATGAATTTATGCCGTAAAATAATTTCGACAATAAACCGATATAATCAATCTTTTTACTGCATTTAAAGTTTATAACATGTGACTTACTAACTTGTAACATATACTAGGATGAACTTTTTGAAACTATAAAATGAATCGATTGGAGATTTTTTGTACACTTCGTTTTAATCCCAGAATTAATGATTATTTTAATTGTGAAAAACCTAAACAAACTTCCCAAAATACTTAAAAGGAATTACTTCTATTAACCAAAATTGTGCTATGAATCACACAATAATACAATTTTCAATGTAATTGTGAGTATATTTCTTTATTATGCATAACTTTCAGTTGCCCAAATTGATCTATATAAGTCAGAAATATTAAGTTTTAAGGCATTTGGACCTGAGTGGCACTCTCTTAAAATAACGCATATGTCTTCACAATTTCCTTTTTTTCCTATTGTAGGATATTCTAGATAAATAAATTTTAAAATATTTCAGGGTGGAGATTTATTCGATGCAATTTCTATGGCAACAAAATACACAGAAAAGGACGCATGCGCAATGGTGTTTAATCTAGCGTGTGCACTCGATTATCTTCACACCAATAATATTGTACACAGGGACGTTAAACCGGAAAATCTTCTGGTATGTTTTAAATCTTTTAGTATCATGTTTTGTTTTAAAGTCGTTGAATATTTAGATTTCACGGCACAATGCATAAGAGTTGATATTAATGCTACATAAATCGGTTGAGCAAATAACATTTATGTTTTCAGTAAGAGAAAACATTACCTTTGAGAATTCACAGGTGTATCAGTTTCAGAGTTACACTTAAACTTACAACAACACTTAAACTTGCAACATATTGAAAACAAACAAAGACATTTCTATTATTATTTTGTAACACTAACGTAAAGTAAACTTTAAAGCCATGATCCATCAAAGTTTTTTCTTGGCCAAGGTTATTAAAAAACTATGCTATTATTGTAAGGTGTATAAAGATTTATATTTATTCAAGTTCGAAATATACATTTATCTTTGTTGCAGGTATGTGACCACGGTGATGGTACAAAGTCTTTAAAGCTTGGAGACTTTGGTTTAGCAACATATTGTAACGAGACGTTATACACAGTATGTGGTACCCCAACATATGTTGCACCGGAGATTCTATCAGAGACAGGGTAGGTAGCATACATTCACAACAAATCTATGTTTTAATTAATTACTTAGTTGATTTCTATAAAAGCGAATAATATATTTCAAATCAACTTTTAAAAAGAGGCATATAAATGTTCACGCGACATTGTATTCAAATCACAAATATGCATATTATGGTCTCATTGGCCTCCCGTGCATCAAAATTGTTACATCACAAAAATCGACTTGCATACATATTTAGTATCATTCAGTTAATTACTGTATTCAAAATTTTTAGTTCACCTTTTTGTTTATAATGGTGACATGTCCGGGGTCCGTACTCTCAGTGCCTGAAAGGGCGGTTGGACCCTCATATACATACATGCATTCAAAATTTATTACTTATAAATTACAAGCCTGTAATGTAAATATATTCCATTGATTCATATTTTGTATCAGTTTGTTTGATTATGTTCAAGTCAACATAAAATTATGCTCTGTTCTGTATTCTAACAATCCACTACAGTAATTCAAAAGTAAACAACGCGAATCCTTCTTTAAGGAATCGTTTAAGTCATGAAGGCAATACACGATTTTGTCAACGAATGGAACTGATGGTATAATGATCATTATTCAAGTGTAGCTTGAAAATTTCTTGCCAATGTTTAAGCATTCATCTGGATATCCTTTACCTGTCAGACATATTTAAGGAAAGAAAAAAATATTGTGCTTTTTAATAGGCTATTCTGTTTTATTAAAGATACGGTGCAAAAGTTGACGTGTGGGCTGCAGGAGTTATCATGTATATCCTTGTGTGCGGATTCCCGCCATTTTCTAGGTAAAATAATAATAATTACATTGTTAAACATGCAAATATTTTGTGAAGAAAGACACTGTATTTTTCGATATCATATCATAAAAATGTCCAAATTCTCAAGATGAAAATTATATCATTGATAAAGTGGCTCGTTATTTTATCATTATGATCTCAAAGTCAAATTTGATATTACAGAAAGTGTGACCAAAATGATTTGATAATTTTCAACTATAATAAGTTTGTGTCGTTTTGATTAGGTATAAGAAAAAAATGATTCTTCACTAATATCTGTATTATTTTTTCTTCCATTGTCACTATGAGTCAAAAGTTTCTTATTAAATACATAATTTTTCTATGATAGTGCAAAGAATGACCAGGAAGAATTATTTGATGCGATACTGTCGGGCAAGTTTGAGTACCCTTCCCCATACTGGGACAACATCTCAAGCGAAGCAAAGGTATGTTTTTACATATATTTTAATATCACTTTGGAATATACAAATGACTTGTTTGCTTGCTGTTCTGTATCCTTTGCGCATGTTTTAACGAAACCTTACGAAATGCTTCACTGTTTTTTATCAATAACCACATTATCCATGATCTTGGACATAAGCAATTGTTCAGCACAAAGGACAGATTTACAGAAACTTAAGCGAAAATGTTTAAAATTTAGAATGCCTGCATATTGTCAAATTTTATATTTTCAGGATTTAATCAACAAGATGTTAACAATTACACCAGAGGAACGCTACTCCGCTGACCAGGTTACAAAACATGACTGGGTTACGGTGGGTTATATAATAATTTATTTAATAAACATACATATAATATCACTTTATAACAGTTTATGAACAATTTATATATTATTCAGAATATATCAAGTACTGTTATTTAAGTTTTTTTTGTGTGAGAAACACATCTTTCAGCCGATAAATTGTTACATATATTTTTTTTTCATTATTCAATATGTTTTAATAATACCAATCAACAAATTATGTCACAATGGACTATTACAATACTAATGATAAAAGTAGTACATTTTTAATTCATTTAAAAAAGATTTTATTTTGCATTTTGAAATGTCATTTTTGTGCTAAGCTTGAGGATAATAATGGTTTGGCTGCTTTTCTTTATCTGAAATGTAGCAGCTATTTTGCGCTTTGCAATAGCGTTATGGCTGTATAAGTACTAATTAATTATCTTAATTTACCACAAAAAGAGTAAACAACCAATGCATGTCGGAAAAGTCTTAATCATTAGAACATTTCATATAATTAACTGTTTAATTTGAATACATTTTGATACTTTCGTCGCGAAGGATACAAAAACAAAACAACACCATACACACTTGTTTACAAATAATAAAGACAAAGCGGAATCTATATGAATGTGCGAGTTTTCTTTTTAAAATGCTTACTGGATCTTTTGTTGATGATTTTTATCTATGGCATCTTATTTTTAATTCTATAAAACAAATATATTGCTATTTTGTTTGAAAATACATTTATGATTTCATTGTGCCACTGTTCTGTTGGTATAATTATACAACTTGTTTAATGATTTCACATTTTGGTGTTGCTTGCATTAGCTGATCAATGTAGTGTTGTCACCATATGCTATCTATTCATATACATCTGATTGCAAGTTTTATGCTTTTAATGGCGCCGAAGGGAGGCATATTAAAGTCGCACCGTCTGTCTGTCGGTCCGTCTGTCTGTCTGTCCGTCCGTCTGTGCGTCCCCACTTCATTCGTGTCCAGACTGTAACTTTGTCATACATTGAGGGATTTTGAAATAACTTGGAACAAATGTCTACCACATCGAGACGATGTGTCGCGTCCAAGAACCACGTCCCTACATCAAAGGTCAATGTCACACTATCATTTTCAAGTTTCACATTATCGCAATAAGAGAAAAATGGTACACACACTCGAGTCCGGACTGTAACTTTGTCATGCATCGACTGATTTTAAAATAACTAGGCGTAAATGTCAACCAAATCAATACGATGTGTAGCGTCTAAGAATTACGTCCCTACCTCAAAGGTCAAGGTCACACTAACATTTTGAAGGTTAATATTATCACAATTAGAATAAATAGGTACACACAATCGTGTCCGGGCTGTGATTTTGTCATGCATTAAAGGATTTTAGAATAACTTAACATGTAAACCACATACAGGCGATGTGTCGCGTCCAATAATCACGTCCCTACCTCAAAGGTCAAGGTCACACTTACATTTTTGAAGTTTCATTTTATCACAATAAGAGTTTATAGGTACACACATTTGTGTCCGGATTGTAACTTTGAACTGCATCGAAGGATTTTGAAATAACTAGGAATGAATGCGTACCAAATCAAGACGATATGTCGCGACTAAGACCCATACCTTCAAGGTCAAGGTCACACTTATAGTTTGAAGGTACTCATTCTCTCGAGAAGAGTTTGAAGATACACATTCATGAACCGGACTGTAACTTTGTCATGCATGGAAGGATTTTAAAATAACTTGGCACAAATGATTACCACATCAAGATAATGTGTCACGGCTAAGGCTTATGTCCGTCTGTCCGTCCGTGTGTCTCCACTTACACAACAATCATGTCCAGACTGTAACATTGTCATGCATTGAGGGATTTTGAAATAACTTGCCACAAATGTCTATCTCTTCACAACATTATGTCGCGTCCAGGAACCACGTCCCTCCTTCAAAGGTCAAGGTCACACTTATATTTTGTAGGTTCACGCTATCACAATTAGAGATTACAGTTACACTAATACAAAGAACAATATTAAGCAAATAGTTACTTACATTCTCTTTTCTTCATAATACCTGCATGCTTAAGAAACCCTTTCGGGGGCATTCGTCACTTGGGTGACTGCTCTTGTTTGATTAATATTTCGTTTAAAATTCTAAACATGAGACGTTAAAAGCGATTACATTGATTAAGTAAGTTTGACAGGGCATATATTTCATAAAAACCCTATCTCTAGCTAAAAGCAGATAAAAAATGAATATATAAAGCTTCAACCACAATATTAATCATTCCGACATTCCGTTTTGGCCGAAACCTTTATCCGATGGTAGGTCAGAATCATCAAACAACATTTGAATGAGGCGACTGTATGATTTACAATGCGTATCTTAAATACAGAAATGTAGATGAGATCAATGTAGCATCTAAACCTCATCAATTATACCTAGATATATATATATTTAAACGAAGTTCTGCATGTCTGCATTTACATTAATCTTTTTTGCAGGCTGATACAGCGTCGGACAGAGATATTCATACAGCAATTGCAAAAGAGATAAAGTCAAGGTTTAACAGAAAGCCTTTACCTTCAATCAGCTCGGCCGGTATAAGACTTGTAGCGGCAACAGCCCTAGATAAAGAGTCTAGATACTTCGAGGGACCTAAGCATGCGCAACTAACGTTACCGGATAAAAATGTAGACGAAGAGGAAGATAATGATGACGAAATATTCTAGGTTTTCGTAAAATATAAATGCAACTGAAAAAATAAGTTTGCATAAGATCTTATCTTATAAGAACTTATAATTAGGGTATTTTCAATATGAAATATTATAATATTATCATTATAAAATTCAAGAATAAACCGTTTCATGTCATGTTTTATTTCCAGCAGTAAAAAAGTGCACATACATTTATTTTGTGTTGTTAATTTGTTTTTAGTTAGTTTTGAAATTGTTCGGAAATTGGTTAACTTGGTAGCTGTAATTAAATTTCACAAAAATATCTTAAAATTACGAAAATAAATAGTTGCATAACTAAACAGATACAATATGGCAAAGGTTCACATAAAGTTTCTTATCATGGAAGTTTGTTCACACATTTATATAATATTTCTTTATGTTTCCAAAGAACATTCCTTTCGGTTGCAGTCACGCCGTTTTTCTGAATATACATTATCGATTTAAGATAGCAGACGATACCAAATATTGTCGTCTGCGAAATACATAATGCTTTACATGTATATTGGCAATTGTCCCAGTAATTGAGCCGCGTCACGACAAAACCAACATAGTGCGTTTGCGACCAACATGGATCCAGACCAGCCTGCGCATCCGCGCAGTCTGATCAGGATCCATGCTGTTCGCTATCTGTTCTCTACTTGTAATAGGGTTAGTAAGCGAACAGCATGGATCCTTATCAGACTGCGCGGATGCGCAGCTGGTCTGGATCCATGCTGGTCGCAAACCCATTATGTTGGTTTTGTCATGACACGGCTCAATTATGTTTGCACTTGCTTTAAGTAACAGATGGCGCAAAGAAATTTTGGTTAACAAGTTGCACTTTGCAACAACACGATATTCGGATGCTTAGATGTTGTTGTTATTGTCGTTATCAGCAGCTGACAATCATCAGAGTTTCCAAAGATAGATTTTGTTTTTGTATTAAAAGAGATTCAACAATTCGACTGTAATGCATTCTTAGTAGTTTCAAAATTCAAGGACTTTTAACAAAGGATACTAAATTTCATTTGAGGGCGATATATTAGGTATACATTTTTACCTGAGCGATGTTAGAGAGCTATACGTTTATATGTATATAATTATAAATCAATATTTATGTTATTTCGTGAAAATGTTAGTATTATAAATGTTGTTCAATGTCAAACTATAAATATTCATGCTAATTACAATAATGTTCTGAATATACATGTACCTTATATAGCTTTTTTATTGTTGTAATATTAATTATCACTTTATATCAACTAGTTTACGTTATTATAGTATCTTTTGAACGTTGCATTTGTGACAAGTATCTCAACAACAAAACTATTATGCATGGCTATTATTGCTGTTTACATCTGTATTTGTAATTGGTGCTTCTAATGTCTCTATGTCCTGCAATAATGAATAAAATATTTTCTTGCCTTAACAACATTGTTTTTTATCTATATTTCTATAAATATATCTCGCATATTAATATGAACACGAATAGCCATTTTTATTTTTTCCGTTCCTGCCTTCAAGCTGCCTCCTACTGGTATTGTTATTTTGTTGATACAAGTTTAAATACCTATATCCGAGTATAGTTAGACAAATAAAATTAGGGTATTTCAAGGTCATTATGGCAAGATCTTGGTCATCATGCAAGTTCACAAAAAATATTTGCGTTAATATTATTCAAAAAATTATACAATAACACTTTCTTATATATAGGATATATTATCATGCTCTCTAAGAACATCAGAGATTTCTATTGAATGACATGTATTTGTTTATATTGACAACTGTTCGTTTCTTAGAAAGGGCGACAACCCCAGCAGCGATGTTTTAGAAGCCTTTAAAAATAATTTTACCAATGGTGATAATAATAAGTTGAATGTAAATTTATACTAAAAAGGTATTGAAATTTAATACCATCGTCGACCACTGGAAAAGATAAGACATTTTGTTGAAGATTTTTCAAGGCTTCACATACAATTCAACTTATTAAAAATGAGCGAATTTGATTTCAAAATAAAATCATGATCCGAGTTCTAATCTGTATTTCACAAAAATAACTAATTTGAGGAAAAGGTCTGTTTAATTTGTATAGGTATGAAACATTTACAAAAGGATTGCAGCGCTTAGGATAACAAGAATTGCCAACATGGCATGGCCGAGTGGTTACCGTGCCGGATTAGTAATCTATTGGCCGCTAGCCTCATGGGTTCCAACCTTGTCCTTGGTAAGTCGTTATTTCTTTGTGCAAGAAACTTTACATTCATTGCTTTGAACTAGCGAGTTCGAAGCGGATTCAAAAGTGTGTCTATAAGCTTAAGCTTCCTACACAATCAAACTTAATGTATAAACCGACCTCCAGTATATCATTTTAGTTGCAGAAAAAAAAATCAAATTATGTCAGTATATCAATTTATTTTGTTCTCATGGTTCACACACAGCATATAATAGTGTATTGCCTTTTGCTTCATCAACATATGTTATGCATTAACACCATACTGGAAAATCAACAACTTAATAATTAAGGTGAAATTACCATTATAGTTAGTTGTTTCTGCTATACTTGCTGATTGTTTCTCAGATGAAATTAGACTATAGCAAGATATGTTAAACAACAACTGTGTTCTCATTGAAAAATGAATAATTTACGAAAAAAAAACAAACAAACAAAAAACAACACCATCCCCCCGCCCCCCCAAAATACGACAAAAAACCCCAACAAAACAAATACTATGTGAGTTGTTTTTAAAGTTTCCTTTGTATTTTGAATGCAAAATATATTAGTTGGCAACAAGAACATTTGTGTGTGTGTGTGTGTGTGTGTGTGTGTGTGCGAGCGCGCGCGTGAGTGCTTGCGTGCGTATATGTGTATGTGTGTGTGTGTGTGGGGGGGGGGGGGGGGTTGTAAGCGCTTTCTACTGAAAGCATAGTCCAATAATAACAGCAACAAATGAGGACAGTTTTAACAATTGAGGACGGTCTCATTTGAAAAAAAATATTAATCACTCTTATACGTCGTATTTTGAGCTGAAATGGCTATAAAATCGATTCAAAAGTGTGGTCTCAGGCGACGGTCACTTTGTCCGAGTGTGTCGGATGAGTGCGTGATTATCGGATTTTCATCGAAATTTACCAACGCACCCGATGGTCTCAGTTGGAAAGTCATGTTTTCACACCAGTGCGTGTAAAGTTACATTGAATGTTAACGTTCATTGCAAAATATTCATTTACGTAATACATAAAAACGAATACTTTAAAACGTATTGTCAATGCCAAAATATATTAAACTTCGATCAATGTTATGTAAGTTTCGTAAGATGTACACATTAAATTTATTAGTTTGCGTAATTTGGTAAACAGCGGGTTTATAATTTGTGTTGTAAGATCGGGACCGCGTAGGTCCGGTTGTTTTTTTTTTAAATATGTTTTGGTAAAAGCAATACTTTTTTTTTAAATAACATGGTTTAAGAATTAAGAATTATTTAAAACTTATCCGGATTAAAATAACAATAATGTCATTTCAATGTGACGACGACCTATACATTGAAATATTGTAAGTTTTCAAAAAATTAGTTATGTACGCCATATAAATTCTGGTAAACTACACGGGAATCGAATATTCAAAAGAGTGATAAAATGTATCCAAATATGGTAGGTCAGTAACATCAGTCTATATACAGAAAATCTCTTTCGTTGACAGGAAAATTAATTCCCCACATGCGTAAAGCAAATATGATGTTAAAGTATATACCGACGCACGCGTCTCCAACTGAAACAATAGTACCTTTGGACCCCGAATAAATACACCATTTAAGATGGCTGCTACCAACAAAAATAAAACTTCGCCGTTTTAAACATAATACATGAACTGCCTCTTGTATTAAACACTTTTTATGTTTTCAATATTTCAAAAGAAGAAAGAAAGAAAAAGTCAATTAACCATCAATTGAGGGCGTCACAGGCGAGGACAACGACTTTCAATTGAGGACTGTTTACACACTTTCAATTGAGAACCTGTCAAATGAGGACAAGTGCATAATATAATAATTGCAATAATTCTAAATGTCACGTTAAAAAGTCAATATATATAACATAAATACCTATAAGCTATTCCCTTGAAAAAATGTCTTAAAAAACATTATATCATCTTTAAAAGTTAAAACAAGATTATATTTTGTGCAAATAACATTATATTATAAGTTATAAAGATCGTTGACAGGTTATATGGCCCTATATAAACGGCTATTTGTAAATATAACCCGAGCCGTTAGGCGAGGGTTATATTGCAAACAGCCGTTTATATACGGCCATATAACCTGTCAACAATCTTTATAACGAATTTATAATACAGCAAGCATCATTTTTAGAGAAAAAAAATAAGATTTCCTCATGAATCGACAGCAGCCGTGTATATAAACTATATAAACGTCACGATTATCAAATGAAAAATGACGTAACAAACGTGCAGTATTATAAAATCACAAATGCCTAATAAACAAACCGTTTTACTGTTATAAATGAATGCAAAATAAGCTGCTTGATATTTTACACGAATAATTTATAATGTCCATTAAAACAAGTTAATCTAAATGTTCAACCGATCACATAAACATGTAGGCAGGATAACGATAAATATTTTTGTGTATGTAGTGCATTATGGCTATTGATAGCAAATAAATATAGCAATTCGATTTATTAAGAAAACTTGGAAGCTATTCTAAAGCAATGACCAGTACTCAATAATTGAGAGATATAAGATAGCACATTTTGACATCTTTGAGTTCTACCCGTTAGCTTTTCTTGCCTCATTACACGACTATACGACATTGGCTTCTTAAAACATAGAACCAGTGGTCTTCAATTTCAGCTGAATTTATCCAACACTATCTTAGCAATTAAGTAGGCAACAACATGGTTTCAATTAGGTTACAATTGCCAAGATCTGTGTGTGTGTGCGTGTTTGCGTACGAGTGTGTATGCATGTGTTTTTGTCTATGCGTGTATGTGTGTGTCTTTATTAGCGTGCACTTTATTTTTTCGGTTACACAGCCATTCACTGCATGGGACATGTCCACTATATGCCATTATTTATAATGAAATATGACAAACAAGATCATCAATGAACGCAACCCCCACACGACCCAGCAACGCACTTGATGGCTGCCTTTATTTATATAAGACTGAATATTCGAATTAAGCGTTAAATTTGCCTTATTAAACATTTCAGAAACATATTTATAGATCTTGCTACCTTTTTATATTGAAATACAGTGCGGTAAATGGAGATAAAGCTCTCTCAGCTAAGATACAACAAATGATAGCCCGTCAAGAGAACTTAGGAACTAACTAACTAACTAACTAACTAACTAACTAACTAACTAACTAACTAACTAACTAACTAACTAACTAACTAACTAACTAACTAACTAACTAACTAACTAACTAACTAACTAACTAACTAACTAACTAACTTACTAACTAACTAACTAACCAACCAATTAACTAACTAACTAACTTACTTACTAACTAACTAACTTACTAACTAACTTACTAACTAATAATGTATTTCGTAAGCATGAGGTCTATTTAAAAGTATCATGAATAAATTAATATTTTAAATGAACAAAAATGTTATACTCTTTCTTGGTTTCTGTAGCACAAAAGCGCTGAAAATTGTTTCCATGAACGGCTTTTAGCGTTATTCATTCTTGCTCATGAATGGCTGTCGATGTTACCATTAAAAAGAGGCGAACGGCTGATGACGTTACTAAAATTTTGATGACACACAAACTTAAATACCCTAGCTATAACTTAAACAGAAAAGTATTTTTGAAGGTATGGCTTGGAATATTTATAATGACGGAATGTTGACGTTTTCGAATCGTATGATAAAAGGATTTATTATCATGACATGATATAAGTTTTTGTTATTTAAAATAAAAATGCTATCTATATCTCATCGGATAGTGTGGTTATTTGCAGTCAAAATTCACGTGAAGTAAAGCTTGCACAGGGCCAGAAATTTGTTCGCATGCTCCTTTGGGATGTTGACTATGAATCTATAACATTGATTTATTCGAACATAGTTGGGATATGTTGAAAATAGATGAATACTTACCGTGCGTCAATTGTGTTTCTGCGCCGACTTCTGGTACAGCTGTTGACGCTTGAACTGCTGTCTGCCTATTTGATTATATTAAACCTCTCCTGTCTTTTTGTTTACATTCTCTCTGCAGGTTAACACTGCATGCTATTTTAAGCTCAAGGTTTATAACATCATTGATAAGCCACACCCACAAATTCTCGCTGCCGCTGCAGCGAATGTTGCTCCTGTTTATTTGTAGATAAACTGATTACATTTATCGCGTTTTAAAGGATATAACTTACTATTGTTATAGTTTTCGTTGGCAGCATGACGATAATTATTTTATATCAATCACTTAAAACTGTGAGAGGATTTCCATTGATTTCATTGTGGTTTTAATTTTCATAAATTCAAAATGGAGGTATCAGGTCGTAAGGAATGGGACGATAAACAGTCAACATCTAACCAAGGGAGGCAACTTACAGTTCTTTGCCAGCCTTGTGAGTGTGACGGTGAAACAATAGAAGCGGAGGCATTCTGTGAAACTTGTAACGAGCTCATCTGTTCTCCATGTCTTAAGGTTCATCGTAAATTGGCTATCAGTAAGAATCACGTGATCAAGTCAAAGAATAAAATGCCAATATCAAGGGAAAAGCAAAAAGATCCATGTTCGGAGTTATGTTCAGTTCATCATACTGAAATAATAAAGTTTTATTGTGAAGACCACAATTCTGTAGGATGCGGAGATTGTATGGTTCTTAGCCACAAAACCTGTTCTGTTAAACTCGTAAGTGATGTATCCGACAACTATGATACCTGCGAGGAACTCGTGCAAATCAAGAGTAAGACGGACACCTTTCTGCGTAGAATTTCATCTTACCAAGGTGATATTGTAAATGAAATAAAGACTGCTGATGAAATGAGAGAAAAAATTGTGAAAGAAATACACATTTTTCGACAAGAGATTGACAAATATTTGAATAATGCTGAGGCAGATCTGCTAAAGCAAATAGATCAACTGGCATCGAAAAAAGTGTCTGAACTTGGGCAAATGGAAAAAGAATTTGAGTCTATGGAAACTGAAATGAGAGGATATCAAGACAAAATAAGTAACAATTCAGAACAGATAAATCAATTGTTTGTAGTTGCAAAACTTGCTCATGAAAAGATTAAAGCCTGTCAAATTTCAACCGAGAAGCTAGCGTCTAAATATGAGATCGAAATATTTAACTTTGTAAAGTCTCAAGAGTTAGAAAAACTTGTAACAGACAAATGTCTCATTGGTGTTATTAATGAGAAAAAGCGGAAGTTACGTACACACAGCAAAAAGAGTCTGAAATATGTTGAAACAAAGCTGTTAAAGAGTCTTCATATCATGTCAGCAGTCGACAGAGGGAATAGCTTTATATCAGGAATGGCATTAATTTCATGTGTTGAACTCTTACTTGTTGATTTCAATAATGATTGTCTAAAACTTTTAAACGTAGAAGAGAATAAGATAAGCTGTATATTAAAAACAGATGATCGACCATGGGACATTACTGCAATCAATTCGAGATTATTCGCAGTAACTATAACAAATGGTGAACTTCTTTTCATAAATACATCAAATGGTATTTCTAAAAGTCACAGTATTAAGGTCAGACATAACTGTAGAGGAATCGACTACCGTAACGGAGTTCTTGTTGTATCGTTCGACCGTCCAGCATACGTTCAGCTACTTGACATGAAAGGGAACATTATGAAAGAGTTTGATATCAGGAGACATTGTTTATATCCTTATTATATAGCTTCATGTTACGACGACAACAAAAGCTTCATTGTGTCTGATGCCCTTGGACATCTTCTTGTTGAGTTTACTGTTGATGGGATAGTAAAGAATAAAGTAACAAGCAATGATATAAAATCACCAAGACAACTTGTTATGACACATGACGGAGCGGTTATTGTTTGTTGTCAAGGCATCAGTGATAGACTCAACATGGTAAAACCAAATACAAGAGAGGTGCTTCCTATTGTTGTGGAAGGGGTCAAATGTCCATTTTGCCTGGCGATATCTGATGATCAGACGAAGATGTTTATTTATGACAGGTCAAATAATGATATCAAATTGTTTGATTTCAATTGATATCTATATCGTAGGCAGAACTTAGATGAAGGTTAATCATGTATTGTCAGAAACTCTCACATTGTACATGTATATGTATCTGTATTTTATATGAATCTTATAATTCAAAGATTCTTTTTTCAGTTTCAAAGACATTTCATCGATAAAGAAATTTGTGATGACCATTTTACTATACATGTACATTATATATGCTTCAAACATGTGAGCAATGATTTATATTTGTTCAAACATTTTATCAATATATTATATTTATTCAAAGATATTTGGATTCTTTATTTTTTATGTTTTAGAGGTTTGCTTTGTTACCTGAAGGAAGTCGCACTTAATATGAAGTTATTTGTCATTAAAGTAGCACCGAAGTAGTATTTTGACTTCATCACTGCATCTTTTACTAATTGTAAAAAAAAACTAAAAAAAGGAAAAAAATATTTGTTCATGTAATAGGCCAAATGAATAAGCTTTTGGAATTTCTAGAAATTCACCAAAATAAAAAGCTTTAGAGAAATGAATATCAAAGCATTTTTGGGCATAATGGGCCTTTAATTAAAGAAAATATAGAAGCTCTGTAAATCTAAGTTCTTATTGATCTAAAAATATTTTTGTTATTGCATTCTTCACAAAATTTATAGTATAATTATAATAATGATAATAATAATAATAAATATAATAATAACAATGGAAACAATATACATGAAGCATAACGATTCTTCTAGCTAGAAAAAGAAGCTTGACTGTCGTAATAATCTCTATGTCATTATTCTGACTTAATAAATATGGTCACTGAATGCGATAATTTCTGAAACATTATTTTGAAAGACATAGCTGCATTGCTTTAGTGTTGGCTATTGAAGCCCGCTCTTTTTTAAAATTATTTATGATCAGGAAGCCTTCGTGTGTTTAATTTTGTCTTTCTAATAGCCCAAAGATGCTCATGTTTTTGCACGGTGCTACTGTCTATCCAAACATGCTTATATCTTTCCAACGGTACAACACTACTAATGTCTTTCCAACGGTGCCACTGGACATACAAAGATGCTTCGGTGATTTCAACGGAACCACTTTAAATGCAAAAATGCAAATATTTTTACAACGGTGCCACTCTCCATGCAAATATCCTATGATCTTTCAAACGATGCAACTGTACATCAAAACATTCTTAGGCCTTTCCATTGTTACAAATGTGTAATCCAAAGATGTTCATATATTTCAAACGGTGCCAATGCCCATGCAAACATGCTTTGGACATCCCAACGCAGCCACCATCCATGCAAATAAACATAGGTCATTCCAACAGTGCCTCTCTCCTTGCAAATATATACAGGTCATTTCAGCGTAACCATTCTACATCCAAATATAAAAGTGTCATTCCAACGGAGCCTCTTAATGCAAATATAAATAGGTAATTCAAACAACGGTGCCACTGCCTATGTAAATATGCTAACGTTATAAAAAGGTGCTGCCACTGCTTAAACAAAGGTGCTAAGGTCATTCTAAAGGTGCTACTATCCATTCAAATATACATAGGTCATTTCCAACGGTGTAACTATCCCTGCAAATAAACATAGGCCATTTCAACGTTGCCGTTCTCCATGCAAATATAAATTGGTAATTTCAACGATGCCTCTGCATATCAAAGATGCTAAGGTCATTATAACGGTGCCACTCTCCTTGCAAATAAACATTTGTTATTCTAACAGTGCCTCTATCCATGCAAATATACACAGGTAACCAGCGTAACCATTCTACATGCAAATATAAAATGTCATTCCAACAGTGCCTCTCAATGCAAATATAAATAGGTCATTCAAACAACGGTGCCACTGCCTATGCAAATATGCTAAGGTTATAAACAAGAGCTGTCACAGGAGACAGCCAAGCTAGACTGCAGTAAGAAAGACAAAAATATGGGGAAAATCAATAACGTATATTTTATGTATTAAGTTAAAGTAAAAAAATAACATTTGTTAAAATAAATTCCAAGTTCAAGGGGGAATAATTCTGGAAATAGTCATGCTAGACTTATTAACTATGTCACACAACATGTGTGTAATGATAAGAAATATATATTCAAAGTTTGAAGTAGAAACCTTAAAAAGTAAAGAAGTTAAAATATTTCTTAAAGAAAATCCTAAGTTCAAAAAGAGATAAATCTGAAAATATTGCTTCAAGAGATATGAACTTTGCCTAATAAGATGTAATTTATGATAAGGAATAAGTAATTGAAGTTTGAGTGGTTCCAATATTCCTACTTGAATAATGTTGAATCACCCTTAGGATATGTTGCCTGCATTTTAAATTTGTCTTTTGACGTCTTATCTGTGATATGCAGGCTTCATAACCTCTGATCCCCTTTCAAGATTCCATTTTTTTTAAGTTAGTTCCCGGGCCCCATTGTTTCTTTTGGGGCACAGGGTTTTTAATTAAACTTGGGGACCAGGCCCCCTTTTCAGGGGATGGACGAAAGTTCACTTTAAAGGGTTCCTTGATAACCCGCCTTTATGACCACATTTTGGGGTAGGATTTTTCTAAATTCATTTACTTAGGTATAAATTTTTCCGCATAATATTCAGGTAATTTTGTGATAATACGCAACCGGCTATAAATTTAGTAAATTTTTACAAATACATTAAAATTTAAAGATTATAAACAAATTTAATTTTTTTTTGGGGAAAGTTTCCGTCAGGGGTTTTCCCTTAAGGGAAAATTTATAGACTTTTTTAAAGAAAAGCAACAGAATTTTAAAAATGTTAAAAATAAGGTTTTCAAGGAAAGTAGAGATGCTAATTTAACATGAAAAAAGTAGCGATAAATGTGAAATACTTTGTCATAAAAGTAGTCAAAATGATGTAGTATTTGACTTCAATATAAAACACTAATTCACTATAACTTTACTCATCATTGCCAAAATGCAACAGATGAAAAAGATGGTTCAGGTAATTGGCCAATGTGCATTTTATGGATATTAAAGAACATCAAAATAAAAAGAAGCTTTTAAGAAAAACAAATAAAAGCAAAATGGGCCCTTAAAACGTTATTTTTAAACCTCGGGGGATCGATACCCCACAATCCCCTCTGGACCCCAGTGAGAATTTTACAATGTGTGACTATCTAAATAGTTTATGATATTTTTGTGTTCCCACTATAGAGGTGGGGGCATTTAGATTTACCCTTGTCCGTGCGTCCTTCCGTCCATCCGTCCGTCCATTCTCTTTGTGCCGTACGAGCATGTGAAGCTGTGCACCTGGGTATTTCCGTGTGAATATTTATGGATTTTTCGAGTTATTGCCCTTGAATTAGTAAAACTTTACAATTTTCAACTTGTGTTGCACTTAACTAAAAAGTATTTGTCCTAGAGTCATGAAACCTTACAAGAATGTTGCTCAGCATGTGTCGTTGTGCACCTGGGTATTTTCGTGTGGATATTTTTAGTATTTTTAGAGTTATTGTCGTTGAATTAGTAAAAATTTCCAATTTTCAACTTGTGTCGCATGTTACTAAGAAGTATTTGACCTAGAGTCATGAAACCTTGCAAGAATGTTGCTCAGCATGTGTCGTTGTGCACCTGGGTATTTTCGTGTGGATATATTTAGTATTTTTAGAGTTATTGTCGTTGAATTAGTAAAAAATTCCAATTTTCAACTTGTGTCGCATGTTACTAAGAAGTATTTGACCTAGAGTCATGAAACCTTACAAGAATGTTGCTCAGCATGTGTAGGTGTGCACCTGGATATTTTCGTGTGGATTTATTTAGTATTTTTAGAGTTATTGTCCTTGACTTACTAAAAATTTGCAATTTTCAATTGTACTTATGCACCTTGGGTTTTCTTGTGGATTTATTCAGTATTTGTAGTATTTGCCCTTTACTTAATAAAAGATTTTTAGTTTTCAACTTGGGCACATGTAGCCAAAAAAGAATTTGACCTAGAGACATAAGATTGAGTGGAGTGTGGGGGCACCCGTGTCCTATGGACACATTTCGTGTTTAGTACTGCCTGTACGGACTACTTCTTAAAGCCGCATCTAGTCAAGCATTTAGCTAAATAAATAGCTTTTTCAACATATTATCAGGCACATTTTTTTACTGAAATGTCTTACTAAGATTTCCCAGAATTTATACCTTTGTCTATGCTAGGACTATCATATTTCTATAAAATGTGTAAATAAGAAACGGGAAAATGATGCAATTAGCTAAAAAACAATGGAGTTAATGAAAGGTGTACATTCTTTTAAAATAAATGGAAAATTTGAGAGAAATATATTTTGAGATGAATGATTGATACAAAATTCTTTATTTGATGAAAATTGGAAATTTTTACTAATTCAACGACAATAACTCTAAAAATACTAAATATATCCACACGAAAATACCAAGGTGCACAACGACACATGCTGAGCAACATTCTTGTAAGTTTCATGACCCTAGGACAAATACTTTTTTAGTTAAGTGCAACACAAGTTGAAATTGTAAAGTTTTTACTAATTCAAGGGCAATAACTCGAAAAATCCATAAATATCCACACGGAAATACCCAGGTGCACAGCTTCACATGCTCGTACGGCACAAAGAGAATAGACGGACGGACGGACGGAAGGACGCACGGACAAGGGTAAATCTAAATGCCCCCCCCCCCCTCTATAGTGGGAACACAAAAATATCATAAACTATTTAGATAGTCACACATTGTAAAATTCTCACTGGGGGTCCAGAGGGGATTGTGGGGTATCGATCCCCCGAGGTTTAAAAATAACGTTTTAAGGGCCCATTATGCTTTTATTTGTTTTTCTTAAAAACTTTTTTATTTTGATGTTCTTTAATATCCATAAAATGCACATTGGCCAATTACCTGAACCATCTTTTTCATCTGTTGCATTTTGGCAATGATGAGTTAAGTTATAGTGAATTAGTGTTTTATATTGAAGTCAAATACTACATCATTTTGACTACTTTTATGACAAAGTATTTCACATTTATCGCTACTTTATTCATGTAATTAGCATCTTACATTTCTCTGATACCATTATTTTAACATTATAAAATTCATGTTTGCTTTTCTAAAGAAGTCTATAAGATTTTCCATTAAGAAAGCCTCTGACGGAGCTTTCCAAAAAAAACTTAAGTTTGTTGATAATCTTAATTGTAATGTATTTGTAAAAATCACTATTGATAGTCCGGTGTCGCGTATTATCACAATATTACCTGAATATTATGCTGAAGATTTATACCAATTTTCAAAGCGCTTTGTTTGTAAACAAAGTCACAG